ACAAACATAAACAAAGCAAACACGGGGTTTCAGATAGCTTTGTGATCTTTGAGCTAGTAAAAAATAATTGAATGTGCAGTATAAGTTGAAACAGAACAGTCTACAGTTTTATTTGTAACAATAGCCAATGCTGAAGTCATGCGAGAAAATCATTTTCCGAACATTTCTGCCTAACGGAATAATTAAAATTTGTAAACGAATTTTAGTATCAGCAGCTAAATTAATACCTTCAATTTTTCAAGAGTTAAAGTAGTAATTATAATAGTTTTCAATAGCACAAATAGTTCTGAAGTTCTTAGAGATTTGACTGGGCGTTGTTTGACAAGGTCGGGCGTAAACATAATTTTAGTAAAAAATTTACTAGATAAAAATGTATTTAGTAAAAAATGTATTAAGACAAAAATGTATTATTAGTGAGTTCAAAACGAAAATTGAAAAACGTAATAACAAAACCCAACATTTTTTATTTAAAATGCATTGAATAAATGTATAAAACTCGAAAATGAATGGAAATAACTTGCTAATTAATATTTTTATTCATTTTGCAAAATAATTGCATTTCGAAAGCGGTGTCACTGAGTCTGCAGGGAGAATTTCTCAGAACGTGCTTAGCCACGCTGAATAAGCGCTCCACGGGAGCACTAGAAGGTACTGCGGTACTATATTTCACAAAAAAATTTTTACGATTGGATATCGATTCAAAATTGATATGCTTTCCGTTTCGACATTTGAGCTCATGTATGCCATAAATTCTTCTGTCGCTGGTAATTGGCATGATGTTTTCAGCTTTAGAAAATTGAAAATCCCTGGGTTTTTTTCTGTTACGTTATTAGTTATAGCAGGGTGTTCAGCTTGGACAATTCTTTCCAATTTTTTTGTAGCCTCCTCCCTAGCTATTTCTTCCAACCAATTAGATTTGATGCAAGGTACCAGACCTGCACCAAACAATAAATCGTCCTGCGATTTCACATCGCGAAACCTTTCGTAGTTCAAAAGAGCCGTCTTTTCCCTTTCCTGAAAGGGAAAGGACGGTTTTTTTGAACTGCGAAATGACAATTTTAAAAGGTCAAAGTATTTAAACCCGAAGTTATCTGTGAATGCATATATATTGCACATTAATTTTATAAATTAAAAAAAACCTAAGCATTTTTTTTAATAAATTTTTTTTTAACCGAAACTTACCGAGTTTTAGAAAAAAGTAACGATTTCATTCGACATTTCTGTTACAAATACTTGTACTTTTTCCCTAAACAAGTAACGAAAGTACAAGTAAAAGTACCAAATTTAAAAAGTAACGAAGTACAAGTAAAAGTACGTACTTTTTACTTGTACCGGCGGTACAAGTAACGAAAGTAAAAGTACTGCCATATATGGTTTTGACCAACATAGTTGTCCGTACTAGAAGGCAGATGTCAATGAAACTAGGTATATACTTCATATGGATTATGGAAAAAAGTAATCTGATAAAAATAAATCACATTTCGAAGGTTCGAAATATTGGAATTGGAAATCAGCAAGTTACCGTATATTATTATGGTTTATTTTTAAAAAAAATTTATTAATATCTTGAAGAGCTCTATTAAACTTTAAAATACTGCATGAAATTAAAAAGTAAAATCTTATTTAAAAATGAAAAAGAAAATGTAAATAAGAAAACTTACAATACTCTTCTATAAAAAAACTTTTTTCTTCTACTTGCCCCTGTAAAAAATAGATCATTGATTATTTAAAACAAGAGCTAAATTTAAACAAAAGTAGAATAAATAGAGGATAAAAATAATATGATAAAAGAAGAGATTATTTTAAACAATGTAGAATAAGTAGAGGATAAAAATAATATGATAAAACAAGAGATTATTTTAAACAATGTAGAATAAATAGAGGATTAAAATAATATGATTAAATAAGAGATTATTTAAAACAATGTAGAATAAATAGAGGATAAAAATAATATGTAACTTAGTAATTTCGTTCAAAAAAAGAAGAAGAAAGAAAGACATAGCTCATAAAATTTTCACAAGCACAAATTTCCCAAATGATGTCAAAGTTGCATTTTTTTTAAAAATAATATTCAGTTTGATTAGATATATTAAATGTGGCGACATCAGCTGTAAAAAGAAATGCTAAGACATTCCTGGCCTACTTTTATTTTTATTATTATTTTTAATAAATAAGAAGTAAAAGTATTTTTTAATAATTAAGTAATTTAAGAAGCAATTTTAATAATTAAGAAGTAGAAGTTTTTAATAAATAAAACGTTGAGGCGTCATGCCAAAAGCTAACAACTAAATTTAAAATTAGTGAAATTCGTACAAAAAATTATTTAGAAAACTGTTTTGTTAAATTATTTGTAGAATGTAAGTAAATAAGTTAAATGAACAAAGCAAATTTCTTCGTAACATCAAAAAAACCTTGCTCCGAGTCGAACGAAAAAACTAAAAAAGACTACAATATCAACCAAAAATTTGATTCCTTCTGCCATTGATAAAATTTGTATGTCGAGAGAATATTATTTTTGAGATTCTGATCTAATTTTTAATTTTTTCCCTTTAGAAAGAAAAAGGAAAGAAGAAAAACATGGGTTGAGTTGTTGAGTCTTAAGGGCTTGATGAGTTAAACTTTTTTGGAAGCCCCCAAAAAGAGGCTTTGAGAACTAATAAATTAATAAGAAGATGGAGGGAAAGAATATATAATTTAGGTTTCATATTACCTATACAGTCAATTTCCGAAGGCATAAAAAAATTTAAAGAGAAAAAAAATTTTCTTCATATTTTCTATAAAGCCAATTTCTAAATGCATATTTTAGGTTAAAAAGTAACAACAACAAAAAAAAAACACTCACTCAGAAAAATGGTATCTTTTACACCACAGATCGCTTAACACAGATTAAAAAATTAAAAACGGTAAAAGGGAAAATCTTGCAAATTATTCACTCCTGAAGTTGTTATTTTATAATATTATTCACAACATAATTTTGATTGAACATTCGATGAAAGAAATCAAAAATATCTGTGATGCGGCTTTCTGATAAAAAGAAAAACGCAATTTTAGAACAAAAATTCATTTGAAATGTATAAAACTTATATAAAATTTATTAACCATCATTGATAAAATTCATGTATAAAATTTATTATCAAGTATAAAACTTGTTACCCATCATTTCTAATTACAAATGGGGCACAAACTTTCGCAATTATCTTATAACAAATAAATTAAAGACATTTTTATTTAAAGACTTCTGTCTCCCGTTCAAAAAAACTTTGAAACACGTTTTTGGAAAAACTTTATTAGAAATAAAATTAAAGATTTGAATAAATATGTGATTCTATAAATTCTTCTGTAACTTTACACGTTTTTTTTTATTTTTTTTTATTTAGTTTTCTTTTTATAAAATTCTGAAATACTGTCGCATTTTAAACCAGACACTCTCTAAAAAATGATTCGCTAATTCTTATTTTTGTTACAACAATGGTTTGTAAGTAATCATTACATTATTTTATTAGACACAATTAAATAATAAATAAAACGTACTCATTTGTATTATAGAATCCAGAGTTTTATCCAGCATATAAATATCCAGTTTTAAGCATCGGATGATAAGAGAACCAAAACAATACACAAAAGTCAATAACATTGTAAGGGTTTTGATAATACGATAAATAACTTCCGTTCTTTCCATGGCCAATCTATTTTACCGAATTTTAAAAATAGCAATCAAATTATGGAATTAAATCAGATCGTGAATTATACAAGCGCTTTGCAAATTTCGCATCACTATTGATTCGCAAACCTTTGTTTACTAGGCGAGTCCATTCTAGGGGCAGGTGAAGACAGAGGAATACTCCATATGTTCCAGATTTAAATTTTCCCGGGAATTTCGAATCTGTAGCCTCAAATATCCGTAAAAACGGTAAATGGGGAGTTGGCACTCTCATTCATTTTCTGTTCAGAGAATATTTAATAAAGTTCAGCTAAAAGAAAAATTATAATAATGCGTATAAAACGGCTTTATAAAGTGCGTAAATAACGGCTTCATCTGCCATTCTAGAGGCAGGTGAAGACAGAGAAATACTCCATCTGTTCCAGATTTAAATTTTCCCAGGAATTTCGAATCTGTAGCCTCAAATATCCGTAAAAACGGTGAATGAGGAAATGGCACTCTCAGTCATTTTCTATTCAGAGAATATTTAATAAAGTTCAGCTTAAAGAAAAATTATAATAATGCGCATAAAACGGCTTAATAAAGTTAGTTGATACGAATCACATTTCTCATAATGTAATTCAAATTTCGATTTACTTTATTCGAAGGAACTTATCCTATTCACTGATTCGAATCAACAATTTTGAATCATTTTATAAAATCACCTTAAAAAGTTTCGGATCAAATTACGGTATTAGGTACCGGAACTTTAGATGCATCATCCGTAAAATCCATTTTACCGTTTAAATCCATTTTACCGGAAAAATCCATTTATACCGTAAAATATTATACCGGAATTTTTGCAATAATAAGTGTATCTGCTAATACTTTGAGCGCCATACTAAATAAGTGTATTTACGATACACTTTGAGCGCCATACTAAAAATAAATACATTTTATGTAGTTGAAGGTTTTATTTTAAATGAATATTAAATATGATCTTACAATTTAAAGCCATTCTATTACTGACAAATCGTTATGAAATATTGATGAATACTTACTTGGGCGACAACTCGGATCGTCCAGTTTCCAAACCTCGGTTGTTTCGATATTTGATATTGCAAACTCACAGCACCTATTCATAACATGAGCAAAGTTTATATAAAATTTTCGTTTAAGAAAAGAGGAAACGAAACTTGCTAAACATTTACAAGGTATATTGATTTCATTTCTTTCCCCCCTCCCTTCCTATTTTGTAATAATTATCTGTAAAATTTGTTAAACAGGGTGCGTAGCCAAATTATTCAACAAAAAATAAGCACTTTTCCAGCACTCAAAATATATTTTAAGCACTTTAAAAAAATTTCATAATTAGGCAGGGTAGGAAAGTTTTTGACAATTGACGTTTTTATATTGTTTTAACCGTCATGTAAGAAAAAAAAATCAAGAAAAAAACAAATAAACAAACAAACAAACAAAAAAAAAAGGCTTTTGTCCTTGTTTTTGACAATTGTCAAAAATCATGAAATTTCGAATCCTGTAAAACGAATTTCATACGCTACGGACTGATAGATAATACGCCGAAATAGATTGGGATTGAATTAATTGGGAAAACGTTGAATAGAACAATGTGAACTGTGTCTTTTTGCATAATTCGTAGTGAAAATAACAAATGT